AACAACTGCTTCTTGGTCTAGGTACAGATTTCTCCATAGATTTATTATAATTTTATCATCATCTCCCCCCACACTCCCTGTTCTTTTTCAGGTATTATTCCTCCTCTTTGTTATCTTCGATAAACTCTAAGATATGGCTTCCATACAGGCTTTCAGTAACATCAGTAGACTCCTATAAGTCTCACATACATGTAGACTTTCATAAGACTGACAGACGATTGCTCGAACATCTGGCTAATAGTAAGTGTCAGTAGTTGTTGAGTTGAATTTTAAGAGTTTCTGCAATTTCTCTTTTATTTCCTTTTGGGGATACAATTCTTTTTTATTCAGTCTTGAGTTTTTTAAGTATTGAAATGAGAGCTTAATGATGTTGGGTTATAAGGAAGAGCCTACTAAAGCTAGCCATATGTCCTGGGGCCTGTTTGTGAGGAAACGCTCCTTCAGCTGCGCTTCTCTCTTGTAGCTGCACCTTCTTCACTCTCTTGCTTCTTAGTGTGTATTAACCTCAGTTTCCAATGCAGACAGCTGCAGCCTTCTCCTGAAGGACCGTTTCCACTGGTCAGAGCCTGCCATCATCCAGCTCACACAGCCTCTCGGCGGGTGTCCTGGTTCCTGACACCTGAGGACAGTAGGTGGACGCTGCTGGGGCAGGTACCGTCTGCGGTCCTGTCAGCTGTGTCTCCAGTGATGCTGGTGGTGGACATCCTCAGTTAATGGGACTGCTCCTCCAGGTATTGGCAGGAAGACATGGTCTATGGGCAGGGAAGTATCACCATTGGCACAGGTGCTTCAGTGGATTTGGCTTGTTTGTCTTTGTTTGAGAATATTCTCTTGAAGCTTCACTTTTCTTTCTTTTGGAGCTCTTAGCCAAAAGGGAGAGATTCAGTACCGTCACTGTACGCTACTGTCTACTCAAAAGTTGCTGTTGATTTTGTTTACTTGATTTTATTCAAATGAAGATTTGCATTTGCAAATGTATCTCTTATTCTAGACTTTTGACATAAAAAAAAGTTAAACAAAACCCAGCAAAAAAAGTGTTCTGTGGACCTCCATTTAGGTGGATCGTAACACTTTACCCACATTTACTAGCTAGAAAGCTACCTAACAGTCAGTGAACTACTATAGTATCATGTCCAATTATATCTATTTCCTCTATAAACGTCTTAGCAAAATAGACTCACATTGCCTATAAGAATAATTGCTTTGCTAAAATGATGGTATCCTATGTCTGATGCTTTATTTGATGAGGTGTCACCTCCAAAATAATTTGTTTGTTTGACTTAACTCTTTTTTTTTTTTTTTTTAATGTTTTATTATGAATTATGTGATAATTTACATGGGAGAACATTAGTTTTACAAATTCATCCTGTCGCATATCGTTTCATTGCCATGGTTACAGTCAATCCCCTCCATGCATCATCAACCAACCAAAGGGTATATCCTACAAGCCTGTTCCCCCTTTCCCTCCCCCCCACCTTGCATTGTCAGCACACAGCCCCTCTCCCTCTCTGGGTCTAAAGTCCCCAGCTGCTCCATCTCTCCATGTTATTGTGTTTGACCTAACTCTTACTGCCTCTACCCTTGTTCCTGGGGGGTAGTCACAATCTTGTCTTGGTTTTTTTCATTCTTTTTTATTTTGGTCTGAGTCTCTAAAGAATTTAACACCTCACTTATAGCCCTAGTTCCTGATGTCCATTTTTTCCTTTAGGAAAATCCTAACAGCATTCCTAATCCTCACCATTTTAATCCTTCTCTGGTTTAATTTACCAGATTCTAGCATGGTCTGGACAAGGACTAAGATTTGTCAGGGCCTGCCCTGGCCCATAGGAGGCACATGATAAATCCTCCACTCCCTTGTGATGTGCGTATTATCTGGGTCTAAAGACTTCAGCTGGAAGGAGTATCTGTATACCAGGCACAGAGCTAAGCAGGTTTATCAACACTGTCTCTAAATCTGATGCAGTTGCTTTCCTTAATGAGAAAGATGGAAGCATACCAGAATAGCTGTCTTCCCCTTTTTGTCTTTAGTGGAACCACTTGTTAGTGAATTGTTAGAATTTTGTTGTTAACATCTCCCGTGGCTGTTATGAGCCATTTTCTGTTTTAGACTCTCTGGTCTTGGTAACAAACCAGCTATTCTCGGTAGTCTTTGAGACATACGCACCAGGCTTTCAGCAGGCACATTGAATTTATTTGAGAGTATTCCCTTTTTCTCCAATTATAACCTATGAAGCAATGTCTGACAGTTTCACATTCTGTGAAACCCATAAATGTTCTTCATCTAAACAAAGTTATTTCTTCAAGAGCATCGGTTATCTATTTTCTCTGAGGCCTTTGGATATACTTGATCTAATTATTTTCTTCAATAGAAAAATAAAGCTTATGGTAAGTTTTGCAGTTGCGGGTGTTTTATCTATACGTGGTCCAGAACTCCCATTTCAGGACAAGTAAGAGTCCCAAAGGCAGAGGCACATGCCTTGCCTTTGGGGGCGGGACCTAGTAAACGGTGGGGGTGGGTGCTGTGACATGTTCCCAAAGGAAAGTCATTTAATCCAGTTGCTGCTTGTTTCTCATCCTGCAGTGTGGGCCAAGCTGAAACTGCAGAAGGCATCAGAACGATGGCAGCCTGACACAGAGGTGGGTACTAATGGAGGGGATTGGGATCTCAGACTGAGTCGGATGACATCAAGTGACAGGGCTCCTCCATCATTAAAAGGGAGGAGAAGATGATCCCTTGATCATGGTGGATGGTTCCATGTGACAGTACCAGTCATTTGACTCTAGACCTGTACCCCAAATTTATTTGTGATATTTAATATATCAAACTTTTGAAACTTCTTTTTGAAGTAGTAAATAGGAGCACCCCATTTCTTGTCCTACCACAGGGCTCCTAAGTAAAAAAGTTGAGAACCTTTGAGGAAAGCATCTAATGCAAGATGATGCTCTGGTAGAGGTGGGGTGGCTTCCTCATTGTCGTTAGATAGTCATCTCTGGACAGTGGATGTCTGAGATGGAGGATGATGTGTTTGGGAGGTATTGCCAGCAGCTCCCCCAAGTCCCACAGTGAGGAGCACCAGGTACCCTTTCCCTTCGGTCAGTATTTTCAGCTTTGCAAACACATTGTCGTGTTGGGAGTACCAGGATATGCTGTGGAGCCATCGGGCCAGGATGAGTTGGCTGCAAACATTTGCCCAGGGGATGTAGCTGACAGTGTGCCCCTCCTTCCTTTCTAGGAAGAGTATGAAGACTCCAGTGGGAATGTTGTGAATAAGAAGACTTACGAGGATCTGAAAAGACAAGGACTGCTCTAGTGTTCACATCGGTGTTGGCTGTTGGACTTGCCCAGGCTTCTGGAGATCGCCTTTTTCTACTTATGAAATGCTCCTAAGGACTCGGCTACATAGCCTGTGGCCTGGCATGCATCTTATAGAAGCAAGGCATGCTGGAGATTGCAGGATGGAGATGTGATTTATCTTTGTTTTATATTAAACAGGATTCTGTCAGAAAATGAAACTAGTGATGCTTCTGAATGTGTCTTACTCTGAAGCCTAGAGTCCATGGATTAAGTCAGTCCTTCAGCTCTGCACACACCCCTAATGAGTGCCCGGTAGGGTCCAGATGTTAGGTAAACTTGACTTATCTTCTCCCTTCCACCATTTACTGCAAATGAGCTTTGGCCCTGCTTTTAGTTGCTTCAGCAATCAGTGCACTTGCTGGGGAGAGATGGGAATTGGGGCCAGGGTTTCACCAGAGGACAATGCTGGGGCTCCAAGGTGGGTCTTTTCTATTTGAATGGGTCTGCTGCCCTTCTTGCTCCCCAAGCCTCAGCAGCCGGGCACACAAAAGAACTAGGACCCGCTTGGCCTGCTTGCTAGTATAGAAGGAAAGTTTGCTCTGGTTTTCTTGCCTTCCTATTTCCTCTACAAAGTCACTATTTACTGTGAAATTGATTCTGACTCATAGTTAGCCTATAGGACTGAGTAGAACTGCCCCATGGATTTACAAAGTTGTAAACTGTATGGAAACAGACTGCCACATCTGTCTCCTGTAGACTAACTGGTGGGTTCGAATTGGTGACCTGTTAGAAGCCAAATGCTTAACCATTATACCAGCAGGGCTCATTAACAGATGTGGCAACCTCTGATGGAGATGTTTATGCTCTGTCCCCTCGAGTTGTTTAAAACCCCAGCTGGATAACCTCTCCAGGGCTTGGACCTCCAATAATACATGACTGGACAACTGAGTCAGGTAGAAGCACATGGACAGCTGGCTTAATTCCCAAGGAGATACTGCTATTTGGAAAGAAAATTGGGCAAAGTCTTGGAAATGGTAAAAGTGGGATTGAGATTTCTCTCCAGGCTTCCTGTTGAGGCAATGTATGTTTCCAGCAGGCATACTCAGTGACTCTTGAGGGTAGCTGGGATTAATGGTTAATGTACACAAGAACCTGTTTTATAACGTGTAGAGGGGAGGTGGGACACGGTTCTGAGGAGTCTTGTCATCATCCCTGCCCAAAATCCTAAGAGGTAACTCATTTCAGTGAACTCTATACCAGAACATCCTTAGAAGAGCCTGGGTCATCTTCCCTTTCCCAGCAAAGATTTTTGTTCATCTGTTACATTCATCACATATTTTATTAGTGCTTTCTATTTCAGGAACAACTAGGTTTGTAGCCCAGAATTTGGTAGAAGTTAGGAAGCGGGAGCAGACGCTAGGAGGATCAATAGTAACTTCTGGGGGCAGGCAGGAAGAGATACATAAGCAACTCCACCCAATCCTGAGGTACGTGCAGCTAGTGAGCTGTGATGTGGGCAAATTCAGTCTGAAGTGAGTGGTTCTCAAAGATGGGTCCATTGTTGTTGTTATTTTTAGGATCAAGGATTCCTTTGGAAAGATATTAAGTGGATTTTCAAGAAAAATAAATGCATATATAAAATTTTACAGAAATTTCAGAGGTTAATAGGTCCTAGGTTAGGAATCACTTATTTAGACCTGGGCTTCAAACAGATTCCATCATATCTGGTGGAAGTGAAACTGGAACAGACCTAAATTTTAAAAAAATTTAACCCCCAGGACAAAGTTCAGAAGAGTTAAAGGAGGAGGACTAAAACGAAATAGGAAATGGGATGAATGATGCTAAATTGCAGAGACTGCAGTCAAGGAAACAAAATGTATATGAATTGTTGGATGTAAAATTTATGATCTGCTATGTAAATCTTCACCCAATTCATAATAAAAAAATATTTAAAAAGTTTGGGAGACCGGGAACAATAATTGGAGTGGGAAAAATTATGGGTAGAAGCCCTGGAATGAGATACTTGGAAAAGGTGTAAATCTTTTCAGGTGCCTGATGCAGACAATTAGATGATGCCAGGACTAGATAGAGATACCACCACACATCTGTCAGTTTGTTGTACCATCAGTTGCTTATATGCAAATTCAAACTGAAGCTGAAGAAAATGAAAACAAGTCCACGAGAGCCAAAATATGACCTTGAGTATATCCCACCTGAATTTAGAGATTATCTGAAGAACAGATTTGATACATTTAACACTGAAGACCGAAGACCAGAAGAGTTGTGAGATGACATCAAGAACATAATACATGAAGAAAGCAAAAAGCATT